TTGTCTTTACTGAGAATTCGTTAGAGTGAGGAACTGATCCCAAGCCTCGTCGGCGCAACCAGCCAAGAAGGGTAGTAAGTCGATGACTTGATTAGTAATATTATTAGTAATACAGCGTGATTTTGTGGTTTCAGCACGAAAAACAGGCGAGGTGTATGGCCATGCTGTCGCGATGCGAGAACTCTGTTGCATTTCGCCTTGACTCATCTGATAGCTGATCATTTACTGATCGTCACAAGATGTAACTTTGATTTCGATTCCACAAACCAGTCGCAGCAAAGGAAGATATAATCTGATGAAGGTTCAAAGTAGTCCAAAGTTAGCTTAAAATATATTACATTGCACGTTTTGTGATCAACAACATTAAACAATCTCGATATCTGAAATCAGCTTTGAAGTTATTTATTTAATTGTGCTGCATACTTTAGGAATATCATGCCAATTTTACTACTTTATTATATTGTGTTCAGTAAGGGGAGTAAAACACTGTCATGTACCTAAATATGGCTTATTATTATCCAGTCAGTTGTTAAACAGCAGCGTATCAGCCAATCAGTGAATGCAATTAATTGTGAACTTTCCGAATTAGCTTTTCACCTCACTTGAGGAATAGTTACAGGTTTCGAACACATTTTCAATGTTAAACAATTCAGAAGGCATTATAATCAAATCAGCCCGTCTATGGGCATCAATGATCGACTAATAGGAGCTGCTTTATAGCAGTGATCGTCACAACGCTTCACTTAAATGTCAAAATGCGTATGCTAATCTAAGAAGTGGAAGCGATAATGAAGTTCAAGAAGAGTGTTTCAATTATCGTTCTTGTCAGTTTTGTCTTGAGGATTAAATCAGCGTCAGACTTCTATGATGTATTTTTCGCCATCTGAATATGCATCGAACATCGCAACAGAACTCCTTTGACAATATTGATTATCAATCAGTATTCAAATAACTTCCTTGCAGATTTCAGACAGACTGAAATATGATAAAGTGCCGTATTTCGACCATAATTGAAGGCTAGTTCTTCGTTAGGCTTCGATAACGCAGTTTTTGGGTCGCACGTTTTGCTTTGGTTTTTACAGAATAATTCAATGTCTCCCGGGATTATTCCACCAATTACATGTCAAATATCATGATTCGAACTTGAAAGAGTTTGACTTGGAGTTACGCCAGATCAGCAAATCAGTGAAACTCTGTTAGCTTATGCGTTGTTTTCTTAATAAAACGACGTTGAAAGGATGAACAACCTTGGAGGGCACTATAAAATATGGTCAGTAAGTGAGCGGTAATAATTAGGTAACAATAATTCACTAAATTAGTGCCTACGAATAGCCCAGTCAGGTTTCCAGCAACAAGCAGTGAGAATTTACACCGCTAGCACGTTCTTAGAGGTGGTTCTAAATGTTTATTGACATCATCACCTTCAGCCGTTGGCATAAGCAAAGCGTCCATGGTTTGCCATACCCGCTGCATTATCAACTTTACAACACATTTGCTATAAGGCTCCAGCCACTGCATCGTAAAACGAAACCATATCTGCCTTCGCTTTATTTACCTCACGTTGCTGCTGGCCTCCTGGTCTAGGTCTACAGTGTTTCTGCTTCCATACGAGAAGCTCTAGAGCGGCGGTGAATGGTTTACGCCCAATCAGTTTGTCCAACGAGGCCCTTCTTTTTATAATCTTCAATCTTCTGAAGCCATCTGTGTCAGAAAGAGAAGAAAGCCATGCCTTGTGAAAATTCTCACATTTAACCTTCATTATGCGTCGAAGCCAACGTAATTCAAGCGTCATTATTGTTCCTTCGTTAGAACAATCTGTCTCTATGCCTTACAACAACACTGACCTGACCGAGACAAGATACAGACGGATTTTCATGGAAAGAATAATTCCTTTTTCACTTAAAATGCACTCGAGAATAGAACGAACCCTTTATTTAACTCTTACTAGATAGTGTCATCGTTGAAGAGGATGGAACTAATGTACTTAAACTGGTCTACCTCTTGAAGTGCTTCACCTCCCTGCTACCCCTGTAGATCAACTAGGTTGGGTGGGTCATTCCTGACTTTCGACTTCTAGGTATTGAGTATTCCAAGTAATGCTGAGTATTCCAGGTCAACGAGTCATCTAACAGGATGTCAAGAACTGCGCACTTCTTGTAAAATGCGGCCTTTGTTCGCTGTCAGTGCAGCACTCTTTAGGAGAAAAAAAATTGAGAGCGGTGGCGAAACGCATCTTCTTAGTAAACTACACAGTTAATGGAGAGCAGTCCAAATAGCGCTTTTTTGGCATGGTCAATTTTGACCAATAACAGGCATAGATCGCGAGTGCACCTTTTCCACAATTGCAACCACGTCTTCAGTTATCCCATAGAATTTAAAGATTTTGCACATCGTCAGACGATGCCCTGAATCAAGCACAGCCTTAAAATCGAGGAAACAGGTGAATCAGGGTAACTGGAATTGTCAGCACTGCTCAGAGAGAGTGAAAATCTTGGGCTGAGTGAAAATTTGGTAGGGGCAGAATACCCGACCCGGAAGCCTGCTGGGAGATGGTTATAGTAAGTGTACTTTGATGATCAGCTTGATATCAAGATTTTGTTTACTTTAGCATATCGAATAGGCAGTAAACACGGTTTTATGTTCGAACAGAGTTTAGAAGTTCTGTCAAACTGGTAACGAGTTATAACGTTATCTTCTTTCATTATGCTTCTTTGCGGTTATCAGACCTTCAATTAAAAGTAATTCGCGTAGATGAAATGTCGACGACGACATTTGCGAAATATATGATTAAATTTTCGTGCCCACATTTTATTGCTTCCAGACTGATGACTACGAAGTCATTTTTTAGA